TTGATGCAGTGGACCGATATTGTCCATTTTCACACCTGACCTAGCACCCACGCAAATATTAGCATTTGCAAAGTTGGAGCAAAATCGGAATATCCTTTCAATTTCTGTGCAGAAAATATATTTTATGAAAATTTCGACCTATTGTAGGGGAGGTACCAGAAGGAGTGAACCGATATACTCCATATTCACACCAGACCTTGAGTTAACAGAAATATTGGGATGAGTGCAATTTGAAGACAATCGGACTCTTACATCACATTTTATGAGAGTTGTAATTTTTTAAAAATTTGACCTTTTGGGGAGGAGGTACTTGATGAAGTGGACCGGTAGTGTCTATTTTTACACCTGACCTAGTACGGATGCAAATATTAGGATTTGCAAAGTTGGAGCAAAATCGGATTATCGTTTCTCTTTCTGTGCAAAAAACAAAATTGTACTTTTTTGAAAATTTCGACCATTTGTGGGGGAGGTACCAGAAGGAGTGGACCAATATATTCCATTTTAACACCAGACCTTGGGTTAATATAAATATTGGGATGTGTGCAAATTGAAGACAATCGGACTCTTACATCACATTTTATGAGAATTTTTTAAAATTTTGACCTTTTGTGGGAGAGGTACCAGAAGGAGTGGACTCATATTGCCCGTTTTCGCACCAGACCTAGCTCAGACGCAAATATAAGAATTTGCAAAGTTGGAGCAAAGGCGGATTATGCTTTCTCTTTCTGTGCAGAAAATATATTTTGTGAAAATATCGACCTTTTGTGGGGGAGGTAACAGAAGGAGTGGACCGATATTGCCCATCTCCGAACTCTATCTAAGTTTGATAATAATATTACGATGTACCAAGTTTGGACCAAATCGGATACTCCCTTCGATAGTTATCGTACGCACCAGCCAGCCAGACAAACAGACGGACGGACATAGCTAGATCGACTCCAAATGTCCTAAAACAGATTTGGTCCAAAGAGACCTAGGGTCTAAACCCGTTATTTCAATGAGGCACGTTTTCGCCGTATCCAATGAAATACACTCTCAGCCATATGGCTAGAGAGGGTATACATCATATTTATATCCTTAGCCATATGGCTTATATAAGTCTTCACCAGCCATTAAAATTTAATATCCCTGGCCTCCTTAGAGTTTTGAAATTTGTTAAAAATATCCTTAATCTGCCCTAAAACAATAAATTTGCCGACCAAATTGCACACAACATATTATTAACTATTTGCCAATTATTGTTGCTGTTGTTGTTGCTGTTTTTTAATTTTTATACATTTTTTGTTACCTCCTAATATGACGGAATCATTGATATTGGCATTCCGCACATGTCCATTGAGACATTTATAAGTGATGATGATTTATAAGTAGAAATGACGTTGATCAAAGTCTAGGTTGTCCCCCTGTCCCACCCCGTTCCCCCTCCCATTCATGTAACTTAGCCGAGCCGTCAATAGAAGGAAAACGACTTTGTAATGCCTCCCCAGTTTTGAAACGGCAATGCGAAGAACATTCAAACTCACACAGGTATTCACACACACACACACACCAGCTCACTCGAATGAAATCCTCGAATGTGTCATGTCCAATACATGTTTAGCAAATAAGTCAGTCAGTCAGTCGGAGTCGTCTTATCGCACAGGTGATTTTGTTGTCAACTAATAGTTGTTGTTATTGTTGTTGTTGCTATTTTATTTCTTTCCAATTTGTTGCACAATTTTCTAATAATTTTTTAATTCACGATTATTTGCTGTTGTTGTTGCTGTCGTTGTAGTATTTGCACTTCGCCCAACTATTTATCGATATCTGGCTTTGTAATCAATGTTAAATGAAATGTTTTATTAATTATTTAATTAACTTGAGGGGGGAGGGGTTACAGGAATAAAAACAAATACACAAAATAATGGGAGATTATCAGTAACATATACTCAGGTAGATAAGGGATCAAGATGGGTAGGGAGGGCAGGTTTATCGCTTCTCGTTAAATTAAAAAGTCCGTAAGTCAATTACTATTATTAGCTGGAAAAATTTTGGCAATTGAGATTTTTCAAGGCATGCCTTTTGGTCGATTTTCATCTCCATTTAAACCTTCTAATTGATTTTCTAGATATTCATATGTGATTGCGAAAAAATAATTTGAAACATATATTCCGGAGCCCTTAAAACGTTGGTCTGGCGTGAAGAAAAAATTGTGAATATCCATATCCATATATCCATTCAAACTTGGTGCATCTCAAAATTTCTATCAAAATGGTAGAGATCGGACCATATCTTCTGGTACCTCCCCCACAAAAGGTAAAAGTTTTGAATAGCCATAAGCATTTTAATATCCAAAATAAGCACCCGGTTCTCTTTATATTTTGCAAATCCCATTATTTCTACTTACACAAAATCTGATGTGAAGATACAATATATCGGGCCACTCCTTCGGGTACCTCCCCCACAAAGCGTCGAAATTTTCAAAAAGAAAAAATCACTTTACTGCCCCGAAAGAGAACGGATAATACGATTTTGCTTCAACTTTGCAAATCCTAATATTTGCTTCAGTGCTATTTCATTTGTGAAAATGGATAATACAGGTCCACTCCATTATGTACCTCCCTCACAAAGGCCAAAAAATTTTGAATAATTTTAACTCTTATAAAATGTGATGTAAGAGTCCGTTTGTCTTCGAATTACACACATCACAATATTTTTATTAACCCAAGATCTGCTGTGAAAATGGGATATATAGGTCCACTCTTTCTTGTACCTCCCCCCCCAATGGGGGTCAAAGTTTGGAATATTCATGAAGCTCTAAAAAGCGAAATTAACATCCGATTCCATTCCAGACTTGGTACATCTCAATATTTCCATCAACACAATACCTTTCATAAAGACGGTAGAGATGGGACAATTCCTTCCCCACAGAGGATCAAAGTTTTAAATAACCAAAACGATTATAAAATCCGAAATAAACATCCGATTCTCTTCATATTTCACACATCTGATATTGGACTGATATTGGGCATTTGGTGTACAAAAAACTTGCAATCGGATAAAGATATATATGGGAGCTATATTCAAATCTGAACCGATCTTGACAAAATTGTAGGCACTTATTTATGAGCTGTATCTGATATCTGGTACCAAAGATCATTGTTGTGGAGTGGATATTTCGCATGTGAGGGACTTAAAACCCCAAATCGTATAAAATATATATATACGGGAGCTATAGCTATATTTGAACCGATTTTCACCAAAATTTCCAACAATTCAGTTTATTTGGGCTGATGGTAGCCAATGGTGCACAAAAAACCTGAAATGCGACCTGCACTTTGTTCACAAAAATACATAGAAAGACGGACATGCATAAATCGACTCCGAAAGTGATTCTATGAAGATTCTCAAAAGTAACTATGGATCCATCTCGTTTCCTTGTGCCTGTTATAAACCAATCCACAAAGACATATTACCCTTACCGATATGTGGTTAAGGGTATAAAGGACCAAAAAGAGACACTATATACCTGAAATTCTGGAATTCTGAAATCAACGGATTCCAAGGAATATTAAATCAAAAGTCTCAAAGTTCGGCTTTAACCCAAAAATGTATGAATTCAAATAGCTCCCGTGAGTGTAAGACTTTTCGCGTCTTCTGGGACCCATAGTAGAATTTTGTGGCAAGTAACGATTTAAAGTAACGTTTAACGATTTCCAAAAAGGTCCAATAAGTCCCCTTTGTTGATTCATTTGAGGTTTAAAGAGTTTCTACCTAAATATCGTTCATATTTTTATCTGCAATACACCAGAAGCCTAAAATTTAACGATTCCAAGGAATTTCAATTTAAAAATAGTCAAAAAATGTGGAAGGGTCGGGGGAACTTGCTTCCACTTTTTAGGTAACTTTGCGATGGAAACTTTCAAAACGCCGATACAGGTATCTTCTATTTTTATACCATCCACCATACATAGAATGAAGCTAAAATTTAGCACAGATATCGTATATCCCCCATATAACGGCACCTTCCGATATTCGGTATTTTGATGATTTTAGCCACATTTTTCAACGGAACTGTCTAAAAATTCATACAAGGAGTTCCTTACGAGTACTTTATTCCCAAGAAGAGAATGGTCTATATAGGTCCACGATATCGCATAGTCCCCATATAACGGTACCCCCCGATATTCGTTATTTTGATGATTTTAGCCACATTTTTCAATGGAATGGAAAATTCCACACAAGGAGTTCCTTTATCCCCTAGAAGAGAATTGTCTATATAGGTCTACGTTTTAGTATAGCACCCATGTAGCGCTACCCTGTGATATTCGATATTTCCAGGATTTTCGCGACATTATTCAACGCAATTGCGTCAAATTTCGTATTTGAAGTCCGTAATGGATTATACTAAATCCTATGACGGAAAATTGTCTATGCAGGTTCACGTCTTCGTATAGCCCCTATATAACGGCACCTCCATATATCCGATATTTTGATGATTTCACCTATATTATTTACCAGATTTTTTTCAAGTCTCGTATTTGAATATTTTAATGACAAAAGTTGCCTATGCAGGTCTACATATTCGTATAGATCCCAATATAACGGCACCATTAGGTATTTTTGAGATATTATCAACATTTTTAAGGGATTTTACTTTTTTGAAAATTTCCAAATTCGTTCCTAACGGTGGAGGGTATTCAAAGATAGGCCCGGCAGAACTTACTGCTTTTTGACTTGTTTTTACTATCATCGTCACCATCATAATTAATGTTATTATTATTATTATTATTATTATTATAAAATATTATTATTTTTATTATATATATATATATATATATATATATATATATATATATATATATATATATATATATATATATATATATATATATATAAATATAAATATTATTATTATTTCTTATTTATATTTATTTTTTCTTTATACTAATCCTTTTCCATATATTTAATTACTAATAGCCCCTTAAAATTAAATAAAAATAATTAAATTGACTACTTACACCATTTTCTCAGATATGTGCTGGAGAGTTTTGTGCAAAGTTTGTGCTTTTGTCCATTCATAGTAAATATGTCATATAATTATTAGCTGGAAAGAAAGAAAAAAACAACAAAAAAAACTGAGTTAAACAAATAAATAAATAATAAATGTTTAGAAAATGATTCATCGAAAAATATTAGAAGCTATTAACAGATTGTTGTTTTCTTAAGAAAAAACGGTTTGCCATCGATTGGCATGTGGCATTAATGTAAATATATACATACATCCATGTGTATATATACGTATGTGTGTGAGTGTTTGAATATATGTTAATAAAAAAAATGCTAATAAGAAATTTTATTTGTTTGTTTTTGATGTGTCGTTGTAGCTCCAAAGATAACCTTAAGATAACACAAAGTTCAATGATTTGAAAAAATATAGGGAATGATGGCCAAGAGCTGGCAACAGGGGGGGGGGGGATGTAACAGGGAGCCATTTGTAATATTTAAATGATCTGGGTTCTATTGGCTATAATCAACAAGAATCAAAACAAAAAAAAGTAATATATGTCTTAGAAATCTACTCCTTTGGCCTGTAGCAATACATGGTGAGATGAAAAAACTGCAATTAACTTTAGACTGCTGTCATTTCTAAGCCACTCGTCCAACAGCTGTTAGAATTATTCCAGTGATAGCTCATTGTATTGTTTACAAGTGTACAAAAGCATTTTGGTGAGAATTTTCGAGAAAAAAAAGTTATTCGTGATGCAATTCAAGCGGGATAGTGTGATTTATTTATATTTTGCTGGAAAACCACAAGTGGCTATCGTTAGAGCACTCCATCATTTAAATGTGCATAAATCTTTTGTGTCTCCTACCATCGCTCGTTACCGTGGTAGCCAGGTAGCTTAGCCCGACGTCAAGGAAGTGGATGGAAGAGGGAAGAAAACAGCAACATCAGCAGAAATGGTTCGAAAAGTAAAGAAGCGACTTGATCGTAACCCGCATTGCAATGTCCGAAAAATGGCTCGTGAGCTGAACATATCGCAATATTCCATTCGGCAAATATTGAAAAATGAGCTAAAATCATCCAAATACCGAATATCGGGGGGTACCGTTATATGGGGGCTATACGAAGACGATGGCCCACATAGCTCATTTTCTATCTTAGCTGTGGAATCCATTGCGAACTTCAAATACCAAATTTGAAACAATTTCGGTAAATAATGTCGCTAAAATCATCAAAATACCGAATATCGGAGGGTACAGTTATATGGGGGCTATACGACGTGGGTCTACATGGCCCATTTTCTTTCTGAAGCTGCAGTATTCATTGCGAACTTCAAATACCAAATTTGAAACAATTCCGGTAAATAATGTCGATAAAATCATCAAAATACCGCATATCGGGAGGTACCGTTATATGGGGGCTATACGAAGACGTGGACCTACATAGTCTATTTTAAATACCAAAAGTCCTGCAGACATAGTACACATTTGAGTAAAATTTTATCAACCTACTTCATTTCGTTCGGAAGCTAGAGTGATTTCCACAGACGGATAGACGGACGGGCATTGATAAATCGACATAGAATTTTATGCTGATCAAGAATATATGTGGGGTCTAAAATGTATATTTCGAGGTGTTACAAACGGAATGACAAACTTAATATATCCTCCATACTATGGTGGAGGGTATAAAAAATTGCAAGAACTTACGCCGCAACGAAAAGAAAATAGACTCAAAAAGGGCTAAAGAGTTGCTTCGCTTGGCCGAAAGTGGTGAACTGCCGAATTGGGTTTTCTCCGATGAGAAAACATTCGTTGTCCAGCAGTTTGTAACAAACAAAATGATCGTGTTTACTTGCCAAAGAGGTCAGCTGAAAATGTGCACCTTCGGTTGGCCACCAGAACTCAAGCCTCAAGCCGGCCATGGTGATGGTGTGGGCCACCATAACAGCCGATGTTCGCTCTTTGCTCGTATTAATCGACCGTGGCATCAAAATAAATGCCGAATTTTATGGCGAAAATATTCTGGAGGGTGTATTGTGCCTTGAACACGCAAACATTTTGGCCGCAGACCTTGGACATTCCAACAGGACTCAGCACCAACCCACCATTGCACTCACCACGCGCCACCCAAGAATGGTTACCAAATGAGGTTTCGCGCTTCATTTTCAGCGCATAATGGCCACCATAATCTCCGGATACCAATCCGTTGGACAATTGTGTCTGGAGTATTTTGGAAAGCAAGGTTGGCACTAAAATCTACCAAAGTGTCGATCACCTCAAGCAAGCGCTTCGTCGGGAATGGGCCAAAATACCGCAGAGCAACATTCGGGCAGCATGTGACGATTTCATTGAAGGTCATAATTCGTGCCAAAGTTGACCAATTCGAACCAATCTAAACTTATTCCAAAGTTTGATGCTATTTCCGACATTTTTTACTTTTATTTAATAAAATTTAAAAAAAATGTTAAAATTATGGCGTTTGACTTTGTTGCGGGTTTTTATCTCACCCTGTATACCTTTTTTGGTACATTCTGTACTCTTTTGGGAAAATTTTAAAAAAATAGTACCTAATAGTAAAAATCACAAAAAAATGTCAGAATCCCAACTTTCCATTTTCCTTGATGAGATTTCATTAGACCCTTATCGGAAACAATTTGAATTTCGTTACCCCTTCCACAAAATAGCTCCTCTCCCAAAATGCCACCACTTTGCAAATGCCCAAAAAATTGCCAACATCATCAATAGTATTTTTCTTCTGAATTCTACCTCTAAAACCCCAAACAAGACTTCTAAGCCAAAAACAAAACAACAAAAACATTCGAAGGTATTCTTGGCGTGCTGCGACGCCACGCATGATTAGCAATTTCATTAATGGTCTATCATCAGTTTAATTCAATCACAATTTAGCTGCATAATGCCTGTCAGCCAGCCAGTTAGCCATCCAGCCAGCCTGCCTGTTAATTGTGTGCTCACTCGCTCGCCAGCCCACTCGAGTCAATTGGATAGCTTAATTGTGTCAAATTGTGTTAAATAAACGCTTTTGGGTTATAAAGAAAACAATGGCTACGTATGTGTGTCGTGTGTGTATGTGTGCGTGGCTATGCAAATATTTAGATAATAGATTTCACGTGTTGTTTTAGTAGCTGAAAAAAAATTAATTCTGAAATTTGTTTTCAGAATTAAGAGAGGTAAAAAATTCTAAGAGCCACTAAAGTTCCTCAATTAATCAGCAATTCAAGGGAATAAAATAGAGACTTTGAAGACCTTGGGTTCAAAATAGATTTTTTTACCCAGATAAGGTATTTCTTCTATTAAAGACCTGCAAAGGGTAATTTACACAAAAAACCAGTAAGGAAAGCTCAAAAGTCGGGCGGGGCCGACTATATGATACCCTACACCACTATGCATATTTAGTAGAGCTCTAGTAAAAAGGTTTATACAGGGCATTTCAGAGCTCTATGAGATATTTGGTACAAAATCAAAATCTATCTAATTCTATCGTGCATTTTACGAACTATAGCTATATCTGAACCGGGTTTCTCCAAATTTTACGTATTAGCTTCTAGACTGGTGATTTGGGCTGATATTGACCATTTAGTGCACATTTAACCCGAAATCGGATGAAGATATATATGAGAGCTATATCCAAATCTGAACCGATTTCGATAAAATTTAAAACAGCTATTGTGCTCCATCTAATACCTGGTACCAAATATCACGGTTGTGGAGTGAATATTACGAATGTGTGGGACTAAAACTCTAAATCGGATGAAACATGTATATGGTTGCTATATCTATATCTGAACCGATTTTCACTAAATTTGATATACTTGCTTCTAGGCTGAATTTGGTCCGATGTACTAAAATTCAGTCCATTTGGACTTATATCGGCCATTTGGTGCACAATTAACCCGAAATCGGATGAAGATATATATGGGAGCTATATCCAAATCTGAACCGATTTCGATAAAATTACAAACAGCTATTTCTGGGCTGTATCTTATATCTGGTACCAAATATCATTCTTGTGGAGTGCATATTACGAATGTGAGAGGCTTAAACACCAAATCGGATAAAACATATATATGGGAGCTATAGCTATATCTGAACCGATTTTCTCCAAATTTGATATACTTGCTTCTAGGCCGAACTCGGTTGGGTGTGCCAAAATTCAGGCAATTTGGACTGATAGTGGACATTTGGTGCACATTTAACCCGAAATCGGATGAATATATATATGGGAGCTATAGCTGTTTCTGAACCGATTTTCTCCAAATTTGTTGTATTTGCTTTAAGGCTAATCTCGGTCACATGTGCCAAAATTCGGGCCATTTGGGCTGATATTGGCCATTTGGTGGTCAATTAACCCGAAATCGGATGAAGATATATATGGGAGCTATATCCAAATCTGAACCGATTTCAATAAAATTTAAAACAGCTATTTCTGTGCTCCATCTAATACCTGGTACCAAATATCACGGTTGTGGAGTGCATAGTAGGAATGTGAGGGACTTAAAGATCAAATCGGATGAAAGATATATATAGGAGCTATAGCTATATCTGAACCGATTTTCTCCAAATTTGATATACTTGCTTCTAGGCCGAACTCGGTTGGGTGTGCCAAAATTCAGGTAATTTGGACTGATAGTGGATATTTGGTGCACATTTAACCCGAAATCGGATGAAGATATATATGGGAGCTATATCTAAATTTGATCCGATTCTCACCAATTTCAATAGGGTTCGTCCTTGGGCCAAAAAAATATTGTTTGGAAAATTTCATCTCAATCGGATAATAAATGCGACCTGCATTTTGTTCACAAGAATACATGGACAGACGGACGGACGGACGGACGGACAGACGGACTGACATGCATAAATCGACTCAGAAAGTGATTCTATGAAGGTTCTCAAAAGTAACTATGGGTCTATCTCGTTTCCTTCTCCATGTTACAAACAAATGCACAAAGACATAATACCCTTACCACTATGTGGTGTAGGGTATAAAAACTTCTACATCTTGAGAAGGTTCTATGAAGGTTCTCTTTTTTAGAAAATCAGACAAAAGTCTGTAACTGAGACTCCCAATTAGAAGTA